CCTTCAATACCACGACTGAGGTGCCCTTGAGCAAGGCACCGAACCCCCAACTGCTCCCCGGGCGCCGCAGCATAAATGGCTGCCCACTGCTCCGGGTGTGTGTTCACGGTGTGTGTGTGTTCACTGCTGTGTGTGTGCACTTTGGATGGGTAAATGCAGAGCACTAATTCCGAGTATGGGTCACCATACTTGGCCACATGTCACTTCACTCACTCACTCATATGAACCATAAAAGCCCGATATTATACAAAAAATGAAATACTCATGCAAACTTTATTTTTATTTCATATGTCAGACTTTACAGGGTTAAGACACTTTCTTGGGCACACAGACAGCCATATCCTCTTAAGCGGTCAATGAAAGTCCCTGCTTTAAGACTCGTTAAACTTATTATACCTTAAGAAACTCTTCTTCTTCATGAGTCATCCATTAAAGGTCTATCACAATACTATCAAGTATGCAATACTTCCATAACGAAATGATGCAGATATCTTGTGTAATATCAGAATGGAAAAGATCCACAATCTTTTTTATCTTAGTTCTGCTCTATCCATTTTGCCCTTCATGTACAGTGAGTACTGCAGCTGTCCAGTCCAAACATGCTGCCAGAACTGTCAAGTTCAGACCGACTATGGCGCATCTCTTCATGTGTTAGCTACTGTACTCAGATCAATACAACCCTAAAACTCACTTTGTGATATTGCTGATACTGTTAAAACATAAACACATTCCTGACCTAATAGTAGGAATTTTCACATAATATGCCTGCGAAGTCAATTATTCAAATAGGAATCAGGAAACACGCGAGGACTTGCGTTAGCACGCTAGTTAGCTGGACAGCGCTGATAACATTATTTGAAAGCTCGCTGCAGATTTTGATTGTATTGTCTTAATTTCCGGTACATTTAATGCGACATTCGTTTATTTGTCGTTGACCTTGCCATGTGTAACATTATATAAAAAATGTCGCAACAATAAATAAATAAATGTAGCTAATACTAGGCTGTGTTTCAAAACAAGTGAACTGCCTAGCTAGGGGGCTTCACAGGCGCACTCGAACTTTAGATACCATTCCGAACTTTGGCGCCCAAAAATGCTGTCTACGTAGGTACCTCACTAGGTTTTGAGACACTGCCATAGACCTGTTTCAATCTGAATGGAAACCGCAACTAAAGCATTACCTGCGTTCCCACCACTGCAATCTGAGGCAGCTGGATAACATCCGCCCCGACTGTGTTAAAAACATCCTGGAGTTTGTTAATGACAGGAATAAGAGCCTCCATCGCGTTGACGATCTCTTCCCCTGTCAAAATTAATGAGCTAAGGCGAATACCCCGGCTAAACACGGCACAAAGTCATCCAATGTCCCTCACAGTGGCACCATGGACCAACCCGGCAAAAACTGAGCCCCGGTGCATTATGGGACTTGTAGTTTTAGACGAGACAACAGCTGTTGACCCACTTTTGAATTTTCTGGAAATAAACTACATTTCCAAGCATTGTTCTGAGTGAATGCGCCAAGGCAACCGTAACTATGGGGTTCAACAAAAATATTTTGGAGCTTTAGGAAAACATGTTGTGGGTGAGGTAGCGCTGAACATAGTTAAAGTGGCAATATTACATACATTATGACACATGTAGACACGTGGTGTTATTAATATGGTTATCTGAACAACTATAACTTACATCAAGATAAAGATAAATGTTTTCACTAACTTTAAGTAGATTAACATTTAAATAAAAAGATTTAAATATATATACATGTAGATAGATAGATAGATAGATAAGAGCCTTTTAATTTAACATTTGTACACACAAAACATGTATTTTATAAACATGTATTTTACAATCAAAATGTTATGTCAATTCAAGTTTACTAAGGGTACTAAAAATGCACCCGACCCATATCAATAAATATTTGTGTTATATGAAAATCCTAAAGAAAAAGTCCATCAAACACATAATTTTCAACACTATTTATTGTTAACCCAAGTATACATACATCTGGGTTCAAATTGTCCATTTCAGATTTATTTTTCATCCATAGGATTACAATAAATAAAGTGCCAGATGAGTCTACCGAGACTCATTTCATAACAACTATGTCAGTGGGTAACAGTTAAAACGACATGAGAACTGCCTTTAAATATTGCACAGGATTATTCAACAAAACAGGTCACAGGTGAAGTCATACAGCAGCACAGCTGAGTTATACATCGTACTTACAAAAAGAAAAAAACATTGTCAGGCACATGCTAAGTTGGTACATTCCCCTTGCCTTTTTTATTTTAGGGGTAACGCTGCCATATAAAAACAATCTCAACTCGTATGTTTTGTTACAAACATACTCAATGTTCAGCCAAAATACACTTTCAGAGAACAATGTCAGACTTCTTGTACTTTCCTAAAAAAGCTGTTTACAAACCCAACCGGGTGACCGATGTCCACGACAAAAACTGAGACCTACTTTCTCTCAGCCATGCAAACTATAATACACATGAGGTCATAAAAGTGCTCCAACCTGATTACATTAAACTCAGTCTACCACAATGAGTGGGAAAGGCACCTCTCTATCTAACAAGTCTGAGTTTGAAAGAAACTACTTCAATATAATGAACTATATTATTAACATTTGTTAAGCTTCACATAAAAATAAGAGACCAGTTCATGAAGATGTGAATCTCAAAGATCCATACCATGAGCATTCAACACCAACACAAATTATACAACCTTGGATAAGAAGAGAAGATAATGGAAGAGCTAAATGATCTGTCAGATGCTTTCATCAAATTATGATTCAGGATTTCAGCACATTTGTTCTTTCAGTATAGTAGGGGATTTTAGTCGCCAACTAGGCATGAATTTCTTTTTTGTGCGTATAACAACTTGTTTCATATGATCAAGAAAGTGCAATTTAAACAAATGCACACTAATATTAGAGGGTCATCAAATGTAGTTTGTTATTATTAACAAATTAATGACCATTTCATTTTTTTAATTTAGTGCCGCAGGGATGAAAGCAAACTCATAAAATGCCTAAAACTAGACTCTCAGGCTATTAAAGGAATGGTTCACTCAAAAATTTAAATATGCTGAAAATACACATTTCTGCAGTGAATGGGTGCCGTCAGAATGAAAGCTGAAAAGCACAACTTCAAACTGTTGCTTCCAGCTAAAATACGAGTCCTCCGTTTATAATATTGCTTTCTCCAGTGAAAAAGTTCGAATCTTGTCTGAATCAGGAGAGAAATATGCACTGATCAAGCACTGTTTACAAGAGAAAACAGTCCAATACAGTTCTAAACAAAAATGACGTGAGAGGTCAACAGGGCATGGGCTTTTTCACTGGATGAAGCGTTATTATGGACTATTTACTCATACTTTGGCCAGAAGCAGTGGTTGAAAGGTAAAACACCTTAATGACGGATTTGTTTCTGACAAACACGTAGCTTTTCGCTTCACAAGACATTAATTGATGGACTGGAGTTGTGTGGATTATTGTGATGTTTTTATCAGCTGTTTGGACTCTCATTCTGACGGCACCCATTCACTGTAGAGCAGGGCTGTCCAAACTCAGTCCTGGAGGGCCGGTGTCCTGCAGAGTTTAGCTCCAACTTGCCTCAACACACCTGCCTGGAAGTTTCTATGCCTAGTAAGAGCTTGATTAGCTGGTTCAGGTGTGTTTAATTAGGGTTGGAGCTAAACTCTACAGGACACCGGCCCTCCAGGACCGAGTTTGGACAGCCCTGCTGTAGAGTATCCACTGGTGAACCAGTGATCTAATGCTAAATTTCTCCAAATCTGTTCTGATGAAGAAACAAACTCATCTACATCTTAGATGTACTGGGGGTGAGTACATTTTTAGCAAATTTTCATTTTGGGGTGTACTATTCCTTTAAGAGGCCACTATCCAACTTATGGCGCTTTTCCACTGCGTGGTACGACTCGGCTCGGTACGGCTCAGTACGGTACGGCACGGCTCGGTTTGCGTTTCCACTGCAGTTATCGCTTTAGAGTGGGCGGGATTATTCACATGTCGTTATAGTTGCGCCGCCTCTACTGCCGCGACTCCTAAAAAACTTTTTCATTCCGCGTCGCCCCATGAAGCTCTCACTGGATCCGCTCCTCTGCTATCAACGAGAGCAACGTCTGTACTTCCTCAACAGGGGGAACAGCCACTTTTTGATTGTTAAAAAAAGGTGCGCTCGTTCAAAACAGTTGCATTCGATCCTTCGCTGGCTGTGCTGATTTAAATCTAGCGGTTCTTTTGTGTTTGTGTCGCAAGTTCAGTGACGCAGGTAGTGACGATTCTCTCCGGCCAATCCGTGATCAGCAGAGTTTACACGTCACGTTTTGGTAACGGTACGGTTCGCTTGGAACCTCAACCGAGGTGGTACTAAAAAAAGTACCAGGTACCAGGTACTGTACCCAGTGGAAAACCCCCCAAAAGTTAACGTACCGAGCCGTACCATGCAGTGGAAAAGCGCCAATAGTGTCAATTGCAAATCTCAATCAAACCAATAAAAACTCCAAACACACCCATTATCATCATAAATAACAGATCAGTCACATGTAAAATCAAACCCCACTTATCACAGCAGCAAATTAATAACTCTAAATCAGGCATAAAATAAAAGTGTGATGGTCCGATCTGTGGCCCACTCTGATGTTCAGGAGGACGAGGTGCAATCCGTGTACGTGGTGACCATGTTTCCTCTTCGCTGGGTCACCGTTCTGCAGTGCTGTTTGGCTGTGCCCTGAAACCTGCTCTCTGTCTTTTTTATGTTTCGGTCAAATGTAAACATCTTCTCCATGTCTTCAAACATGTCCTCAAAGACTCCGGCACCAAAAGTACCCTGGGAGTGTCTCTTATGGCGGTTGAGTGCTTGCTGGTGGGCCCTGAAGTGCTCGTCAAAGTGCCTTTTTGAACGAGCTTGCCTGTTTTGGCTATAGATGTCAAAGTTTCTGAACATGTCGTCAAAGTTAAAATCAAAGGAATGATGAAAACGCTGCTCTCCTCCTCTGTTCACGTCTTCATTGCTGAATGTATTGTATCCTGATTGGTCATACTCCAGCCTTCTTTTCTCATCTGATAGTGTTTCGTATGCTGCAGAACGAGTTAAAAATGTATGCATAACAGAATGAACAATTTGAAGAATTTTTGCTTTAAACAACAAACATTTTTTTTTAGGCTACATTTATTTGAACAAAAATAAATGTACTTACATATTACAATTTTAAATAATTGTTCTCTATTTTAATATATTTTAAAATGTAATTTATTCCTGTCATGGCAAAGACATTTATAATGCATTTCTATCTAAGTGCTGTTCTTTTGAACTTTCTATTCATCAAAGAATCCTGAAAAAATTAGCATGGTTTTCACAAAAATATTAAGCAGAAAAACAGTTCTCAACATTGATAATAACAACTATTATTTAGACTTGAGCATCAACAATAACTGATAATAACTGAACACCAAACCAACATATCTGAATTATTTCTGAAGAATAATGTGACACTAAAGACTGGAGTAATGATGTTGAAAATTCAGGAAAAAATTACATTTTTATATATATTAAAATAGAAAATAATTTTTTACATTGTAATAATATCAGCTTTTTATCAAATAAATGCAGCCATGGTGAGCATTAGTGACTTCTTACAAAAACATGAACAATTTTTAATTACTACAAACTTTTGACAGGTAGTGTATATAACCCACCTTCTGCAATCTCTCGAAATTTGGTTTCCGCATCGGGGCTCTTGTTCTTGTCGGGGTGATATTTCATGGCAAGCTTGTGAAAAGCTTTTTTGATCTGACGTTCCGAAGCATCTTTTGGCACACCGAGGATGTCATAGTAGTCCTTTCTGGCCAGTATGAGTTCAGTTATCATCAAGATGCACACTGCGAACATCAGTGTTGACTGTGCCATGGCCATGCTTCTGGCTGTTTGATAAGAGGACGGAAGAGAGAGCAGGATTTTGTGAGTTAAGCTTGTCTAAACACCAAACTAATTCATAGATAAGATCCACACCTCTTAATAATAATTATTGTAAAATAACAGAATCTGTATATATGTCAGAAAAAATAAACAAATGCAAATTAATGATGCACCACGCCCCCTTTGCTGTTTTAAACAACATTACAATAAAATAAAAATATTAAAAATGATAAAAAAATTAAACATTTATTTTGTTTAACTATTTATTTAATAGCATTGCATTAAATAGAACATACTTGATATTTTTATGGTAATATTGTTTAGTATATTGCGTTTGCCAATGTATGTACAGTATTCTGTACATGTTTGCGATTTCTTTGACAATATAATGTATTTTCTTTATATTGTTTCATTTATTAAGAATGAGACATTATAAAACCCCCAGCAATACGCCTTTCGAAACCAACTTTCATAAGACTGATGAACTCGATTAGCCCGCTTGCTAACATGATGTCTAACATAACTCTATCGCATTATCAACAAAAGATCTTTAGACATATTCGCATTATTAAAACATGCCACATTATTTTAAACAAATAGTAATAAGACACCATATTTTAGCGCTTGTACTCACTCCGGTTGACAGCGCCGTTAAAAATGACCAAAACTGATATTGGCGTTTTTAATATTTGGGCCGTACAACACGACTCGCAATTCTATTGGTCCAGCTCTGTACCACGTGATCTACACACGAACCAGACACCAGAAACCTCACTGTTGCGTTGTATTTACTCAGAGTCTAATCTGTTTAGCGAGTCATATTACATAGCTATTAGCTAATCAAAGCTTTCCAAACTAAACTCTAATTTCTGATATTATGTACACAGGGTCAAGACAAATCTGTCGCTTTTCGTTATGGCCACCATAAACAGTTTAAATATCCGTAATTTTAAGATATTAAAAGGCATAAACCTCCATATCGACCCCCAAAATTATGTATAGGCTACACAATGGTAAAAATAAAGACAATACCTTATTTTACTAATAAACACAAATCACATGAATATTCAATATCTACTTTTAACTGGATATCTGTATACCACGGTGATATTACTTATTATTATTTCATCAATATTTGCCACAAATTCTCTAAGCCTTGTTCCACAAATCAACAAATGTCCATGACAGACTTTTAGCAGATACTGTTTTACCTATAAAAACAGTATAAACAGTATGTATTATATAAACAAGAAGAAATAAAGGAAAGAAAAAAATATTTTCTTAGTTTTGTATAATAAAAACATTTACTGTAACAAGCGAATTTACTTGTTTGAATCTCCATTTCAGTTAAAAAGTAGGGAAGGCCAAGAATCAGGCTTATGCTTTCTTTTTGTTTGTTTGTTGTTTAAAGATTTATAAATACAGCCAAGATTAGGATTAGGATAAACAATGTTAAAAAAATGTAAATGTTAAAAACGGGAAAGCACATATTTAATATTGTTTTTAGATATTGTTGAACTTCTGCCTTTAAAAACAAGCTTATTTCCTCCATATTTACATTTATGTATGCTAACTTTAGCTATTAGAAGTAGCATATTATTTAAATAATATTCTTGATGATAAGACATGACATAATTGAAAACATGACAATACAATTTTAAAAGATGAGCATGATGTGATCATTAATAAAACACAACAGAAATCTGACCAAAAACAAGCCGAATGAGTACAACTCCAAAAAGGTATGAAACTATAAAACTATGTTTCTGCATCTATCAATATAACAATTGAAGATATTTATAAATGAGTTTAACAGAAATTGATTTTATTTGTAATATTTAAATATTACAAATATCACATTATTTAAATAGTATTCCCAAATTGTAACATTTTAATATATTTAATTTTTCATTTCAATACATATTTACTTATTTATTTACTTATTAAATTATATTTTAATTATTAAAATTGTATGTATTTTTTTATCAAATCATATTAAATATTTATATGATAGTTTCCAAATTTGACAGGCCTATGACAAAAGCTGCAAATCTGGCCCATGATGTCATTCGTTTCCCACAATGCCTCAGCAGCAAAACAACGCACGCGTCGTGCGCGTTTCTCAAGCGTCTCTCAAAGATGGCGGGCGTCCCCGATCCACTGGAAGATATGCTCTACTCCGAAGTGGACGAAAAAGCCGTCAGTGACCTCGTAGGCTCGTTGGAATCGCAGTTGGGTGGACAAAACAAGGCGGTCGGGCCTCAAGGCGACACCAGGAGACCCTCAAACACGCTAAATCCACACTTGGGGAAATTGCTGCCCGCCCAAGTAGGAACAACACTGGAGCAGCAGCGGCAGCCAGAGCGAAACCAGGAGGGAAACTCTCAAGAAAACGGCCCGGACAGGATACCGGCGTCCGGTGCTGTCCCGTCCACCGCGAACCTGCCTAGCACCTCTGCAAATTCGGTTACAGCCGCGAACCGGGTGCAATATCATTCATCAAATCCATCAACTTGTTCAAGTGACGCAGCACCAACAGACTCTCAGCCCAAAACAAATCACATTGCGTCTGGTGTCCGGTCGGTTCCCGCCAGAATACAGACTGTGAACGGAAGCAGTGGCACGTTAAACTCTTCTGTTATCGCGTCTGCTCCTGCTTCTGTAAACGGTATTGACATTGGTTCAGGTGTAGGTAATGGTAAAAGCAACATGTCTGCTCCTGCTAGTACAAATACTGCTTTTGTGTGCGCTCAGCCCAACAGCACACTGCCACATGCGAATGTGTCACTAGATAGTCAAGCAAACCCCACCATTGCACTGCACAGGCCTCCTAACACCATCACTAGTGTGGTACACAACGGAGGTGACCCCAAAGTCTCAGGATTGCCCGTGCAGGGCGCCGGTCTTGTGCCGTTCACAAACACAGAGCCCAAATCTGACCCTCAAAACCAGATTAAAGCCATCGTCCCGAACCAGCTCCCCGGGACCCCCGTAGAGTTGCACCCCAGCACGCCCGCTCAGATTATAGTGTCGTCCAGCCCGGTGGTGACCTCACTTCCTGTGGCAAGCACGCCCTCTGCCCTTGCAAAGCCAGCAACGACTGCTCTCGTAGGACAGCCTACGACCCTGTTGAGACCTGGTGCGCCCGTTCAGGGGACGGCAACCACGACGCCCCCGCAGCGTCCAGGGGCTCCTATGACCCAGCTGATCGTCAGACCGCAGCAACAAACTACCATTCAGTTACCGCCGGGATTCACCATACCTCCAGGTAAAAGCTTAGGAAGCGATGAGACCAGATGCCAAAAAGAGGGTGTTTAATGGGTCCGTTCACCCAAAAATGGAAATTCTGTCTTTATTTACAAACCTTAAATGTTGTTCTGAACCTGAATTACTTTTTCTTCTTCCGAACATAAAGAAGACATTTTTGAGGAATATTTTTGTGCATATAATGAAAGTAAATAGGGTCCAAAACAACATTGGACCCCATTGACTTTCATTGTGTGGATAAAAAAAGTAAGCCATACAGGTTTGGCACAACATGAGTGTAGTATTGTTACTACTTTTCCCAGCTATTTTAATTACTCCTAGATGATTTGTTTATGAATTTTTTCCTGTGTTCTTCTTGAGGTATGGTGCTGGTACGCACGGAGGCCGGTCAGCTGGCATTGGTTCCTCAGCAGGTCCTGGCTCAGGCCAAAGCTCAGAACCAAAATAAAGGCACCCTGTCACCGAGACCTGCTACACCCATTGCTGGAACGGCTTTCAGAGTCACCACACCTGTTGCCCAGGTATGAGCAAGACAGGTCATCTGAAAGCATCTAAAACTCTTGTTGCATTTTAATACTCTGTTTTAGCAGTAAATAATAGCTATATAAAGGAAGGCCATCTCTGTTGACACTTTCAGTGCATCTTTTTTCCACGTAGTGAAATTGAATGGTGATTGAGACTCTCGCTGCATAACAGCTGCTTTTGTATTCCACAAATGAAATGAAGTGGTTCTCTTGTGTTCTAAATCACCTTCAATGTAGTTCATATGACTTTTGAAATGTTCTTAAAACCATATGAAAGCTTTGTGTGGTTTATCTGCAGACAATCTCATCCTGATTTTACTGTCAAATCAAATGTGGTGCAGGTTGCATGACAGTAACAACAAACATCATTATTTCTCGATTGGCTTGTAACCAAATATCTTATTTGATTTGCTTCTGTTAATCACACAAGACAATCAAATCAATCTTCAGATTTGGTCTATGTGAAGATTCTTGATAAATTATTGTTTTGTCTGTTCTGCTTAAAAAAATGACAACATATGGGTTTGGAATGATGTAAAATTCATTTTTGGGTGAACTGTTTCTTAAATGTGTTGTTTATTGTATTATTTCAAGCTGAAAGCTTGGGCAAAACATTTATTTTTGTCGTGGTGCACAAAACACTTGAAACGGTTCTTAACTTGACTTGGCTTTTATTTTTGCAGCAGAAGACCGCAGTGGTAACGATTACCTCGGCTCAGAAGCCCACCACCACAGTCATTACAGCAGGGGCCCGTGTGCAGCCTGCGCCACAGACAGTTCTCAAGCCCTCTGTGACCCCTCAGAGTCCCATCACCACCTCTGCTGCTGCCCCAACTAACCGAGCCCCTGTCCTCTCTCAGGTAGTGCTACACTGTGTTCGTTCATAATGTCAATGACTATTGGTGGACATGGATTCTAATTCATTATCTGTTGTAATATACTGTAATTTTTCATTTAGGAAATGCAAGAGAATGTAAAGAAGTGCAAGAACTTCCTAGCAACACTCATCAAACTGGCATCCCATAATTCCCCCTCGCCGGAAACATCTCGGAATGTGAAGGCACTAGTGCAGGATCTGCTGGTAAGTTTGAGCTGTTTAGTGTTTTATATCTGCATCACTAGCAGCAATGTTATGATTGCGACACTTCAGTATTGCTTAATTGTTAATAAAAGATTTGATGTAGTAGTTCATTGTGACAGTTAAAATGATAGTATTTTCTCTAGTGGTATTCTCATGCTAAACTGTAGATGTCAGCAACTGCAGGACTAAAAAAAACCTAAAAAACGCACACATTTTTGCCTGTTCAAAATTCCAGAGTAAATTGCCTATCAAACTAAATTGCCTTTCAAAGTATACAGTTGTAATTGGTGTGTACATGCATTTATGCCACCTCTGAGCAGCATTATATGCCACTGCAGAAGCGCTTCTGTGTCAACTTTACTGTGCAAATTTGGCATAATTTAGTTTTTATTTGTCCTGCCAGTATTTTTACTGGCTTTTTAGATATATTTTTTTATCTTTTAATCAACTTTGTTTTTTTGTTACAAAAGATTTCTTCAAATAATTTGCTATAAAGATAACAATTCACACCTAATTTCCAATGTGTTAAGTGTGACTTCATAGCTTTGTAGCAAATTATTTGTAGGAAATAAAGTATAAATGAATTATTGAAAAACCTCCAGCTCTGTAACTTTGTTGATTTTTACATCTGCCAAAGTCACAACAATGTTTAATACATCATACAGTCATGAATATTTAAGTTTTATTTCAGAGCCCTCAATTGTTTTCTTTAAACTTGAGCTGGTTATTGAAAATTCTAGTACTTAAAGGGGTCATATGATGCGATTTCAAGTTTCCCTTTCTCTTTGGAGTGTTACAAGCTGATTGTGCATAGATAAGATCCCTGAAGTTGCAAAGACTAAAGTCTCAAAACCAAAGAGATATTCTTTATCAAAGTTAAGACACTGCCACGCCCCCCTAAAACGGCTCGTTCTAACACGCCCCCACATATCTACCTCACTATGTGGAAATATTTGCATAATGCCGGCCAAATGTGCACACAAAGAAAGAAGACGTGGTTTCAGTAACCGCAGTTAGTGTTGAAGCAGCATGTCAGGGAGACACTGTGTGTTTCTAGGCGAAAGCAAAAGCACTATATTTGGCCTTCTGAAAGTAGATGCATTTAGGAATCTTTAAGATGACTTACAACAGAACAGCAATGCATTTTATGGACGACCGTTTCGTGAACCTAGGAGAGGAGGTAATTCTGACTTTGCTATGACAATCTGGCGCTTCTGAATCAGCTACTGTTTTGTTATTAGTTTAAGTATTTGCTATTGACTGTTCAAATGCGGAGTTTTGCGCATCGTGTGTGTGTGCGTGAGCGAGCGAGAGAGAGAGAGAGCTCGAGAGAGTGTGAGAGAGAGAGAGAGGGAGAGGGAGAGAGAGCGTGAGAGAGAGGGGGTCACATCACAGTGGAGTCAGCTGTCTTAACCGTGGCTTGTGTGCTGCACACATCCCAGCTTCATCACTGTGTCTGTCACGCGACTCTGTTGCCCTTTTGGGCTTGAACTGATGGTAAAACTAATGACATTATTTACTGTCTTTACATTTATTTTGAAAGATGAAGCTCGCGATTATGGTAAGGGGCGTTACATTTCCGACGAGTGCTTGCGGTGTTCGGCCAATCACAATGCACTGGGTCAGCTGGCCAATCAGAGCAGACTGCACTTGTCGGAAGGAGGGACTTTGTAGAAAACGAAGCGTTTGAGAGAGGCGGGGCATAGAGGACCTACAATAATGTACAGTATTTGAAAAATAATGTGTTTTTTGAACATTAAAGCATGTCAACATATTCTGTTACACCAAATACACAAAATAATGATCTTTAAAAAAGCATCATATGACCCCTTTAAATAACATTTACATTTAGACATTTAGCAGACGCTTTTAACCAAAGCGACTAACAAATGAGGACAATGGAAGCAATCAAAATCAACAAAAGAGCAATGATATGCAAGTGCTATGACAAGTCTCAGTTAGCCTATTATATAATAATTTTTTAATTATATAATAAAAAGAAAACTGATAGAATAGAGCAAGCTAGTGTTAGAGGCCTTTTTTTTGCTTTTTGTTAATTGTATAATAAATTGAAAAAACTGATAGAATACAAAAGAATTGAGAAGCTATTGTTAGTTTTTTAAAAGAAAACAAGCAGTTAGTAAATGAATAGAGTGGAAGTCTAAAACGGGCAAGTTGTTTTTTTTAAAGAATAGAATTAAAAAGAACATGAAATAATCTTTACATAAAGCATGTGTCATTTTAGTTGAGATAACTGATGTGTATTTTTCCTTCTAAAATCTGCAAAGGATGCAAAAATCGAGCCTGAGGAGTTTACAAATCGCCTGCAGACGGAGTTGAAATCATCTCCTCAACCGTACCTGATCCCTTTTTTGAAGGTAGGACTCAAAAAAGCAGTTGTGCTTATTGTTCTTACTTACAGAAGCTTAAAGAGAGAGTTTCAAAAAATGAAAATTCTGTTATTCACCCTCATGTCATTCCAAAATTGTATGACTTTGTGTTTTTGTGGAACACAGAAGATATTTATAAAAATGTTAGTTAATTGCTTCAATTCCCATTGACTTCCATTGTATGGACAAAAAATACAATGAAAGACAATGGAGACCGAAACTGTTTGGTTATCAACATTCTTCAAAATATCTACTTTTGTGTTCAGCAGAAGACATAAAATAATACCGATTTGGACAGCATGAGGGTGACCAAATGATGGCAGAATTTACATTTTTTGGTGGGCTATCCTTTCAAGGCACGAAATTTGTTCTTTTGTGTTTTTGAAACCTGAAATCTGTTTCCCCTTCTCTTTGTACAGAAAAGTCTGCCTGCTCTGCGTCTGACTCTTCTGAACTCCCAGCAGTCTTTAACACAGCTGTCTCAGACCTCTACTACATCCACCCCACTGACGGTGAACACCATTAAAGCTCCAGCGCCGAGCACACGTGTGAACCTAAATGAGGAGAACGCCCGTATCTTGGCCACGGGTTCGGAGCTGGTGGGCACTCAGATCCGTTCCTGTAAGGACGAGGCCTTCCTTCCTGCCAGCCTGCTCCACAAACGTCTCCTGGAGACTGGTACGCAATAACCCGCTGCTGCAATACTCTCATCGGCAGTCTGGCAATGTGCTTGTCAGGATCAGTTTCTCCTGGCAGGTTTACAGTCATAAAGAGGTTTAGGCTGTACCGCCACTGTGTGGGCAGTTAATATTCTGTCTAATTACTGTATCAGCGTTGACTGACGTTGTTTGAAGGCGGATCTTTAAATGGGTGTGGGATTATGAATGGATTTAAACACAAAGCTGATGAAAGCTGGCCCGATGAGACAGGAAAGATGTGTCACTCTTTTCTAAGCTTTATGATTCGGCTGCTTGATTTAAATGCCACGCAGAGAGAAAGCTGTATAGATGATATTTTTGGCCAGATTTACAGTCAGGCATATGAATAAAGTATACAAGGGATCTGAACACTAATACTTTGTACTACATGATTTTAAAATCAACTAGCCAATCAGTAGCCTAAAACCTAAAAAGTAATCAGTCATAAAGAAGCACTGTATAATTAGGCTAAATTCATATTTCTTAATGTAAATTGCATTTTTGCCAAAAATATATATCAAAATATATATATTAACAATGTTGTTATTAGTATTATTACTATTGCTGTTAATTTCTATATATTTATACTTATACAAAATAACAAAGTAGACAAAGCATTCTGGGCATTTTAATTGTTGTTTTTTTTTTAGATGACTAGTTGACTGTTATTTTTGTATTTATTTTATAGTATTTACTATTATAGTATTTATTCATATTTTTATATATAGAGTGACCCACCCTAAGCTTAAAAAATAGAGATTCAGTGATTGGGACCTTCCAGTCCTCTCTCCTTGATCTCCGCCTAAGACTAGGGGTCTCTTCTAAGTCTCTTCTAGTGCACTTCCACTGGTCAGGTCAAGTCACAAGTCAGGCTAATGAATGCCCTGTGTCCGAGCTTGAGGCCTCCTCAGGCTGCGTATGAATACTTTATAGGCTGTCTTCTGATGGCTCTCTATTAGTTTGCTGTGTGCTGAAATGTGAGGTTGCCTCGGGCCTCTTCCCTGACAAGGTCACTTGCATGCACTCTGAATGTCCCTGCCTAAACAAACAATGCACATTTCAAGGACTAGATGCCTTTGAATCTACATACGTACAGATGCTACATAGCAAGTCAAGCATGAATGTTATGTTTTAAGTGTGATATATACATTGCTGGTTGCAACTGGCCGCATTGATTTAATAAAAAATGCAGTAAAAAAAAAAAAAGTAATATTGTGAAATAATATTACAATTTCTTTTTTATTATTTTTAAAAATTTTTATTTTGATATATTTTTTTAAATGTAATTTATTCTTCTGATGGCTAAGCTGTCAGTCATTTTAATATAATGATTTGATGCTCAAGAAATGTTTCTTATTATCAATGTTAAAGCAGTTGTGCTGCTTAAAGGGATAGTTCACCCAAAAATGAAAATTCTGTCATTAATTACTCGCCCTCATGTCGTTCCAAACCTGTAAGATCTTCGTTCATCTTCGGAATGAAAATGAAGATATTTTTGATGAAATCCAAGAGCTTTGTGACCCTGAAAAGCCAGCAATGCAACTGACATGTTCAAGGCCCAGAAAGTTGGTAAGGACATTGTTAAATAGTCCAAGTCACATCAGTGGTTCAACCGTAATTTTATGAAGCCAGGAGAATACTTTTTTGTGCACAAAGAAAACAAAAATAATGACTTTATTCAACTATTTCTTCTCTTATGTGTCAGTCTTTGACACGCCTTCACGAGTTGAACCACTGATGTCACATGGACTATTTTAACGATGTCCTTACTACCTTTCTGGGCCTTGAACGTGTCAGTTGCATTGATGTCAATGGAGGGTCAGAAAGCTCTCAGATTTCATCAAAAATATATTATTTTCTGTTCGGAAAATGAATGAAGGTCTTAACGGGTTTGGAACGACTTGAGGGTGAGTAATTAATGACCAAACTTTCATTTTTGGGTGAACTATCCCTTTAATATTTTTGTGGCATATTTCACAATATTACTGATGTGTAATTAGTATGCAAGCTAAATATTACCCATAATCCCTTGGAAATAAAGACTAGTGGAAGTCTGCTGTTTTTTCTCCATTACTAAATAGGAAAAGGTGTATATCAACACAAAATAGGGTCCGGAATCAAGACCAGACACCCAAATTCTATACATGCAATCTGCAAACATACTGCACCAGCATCTTATTAATAATGATTAGTTAACCTTTGCATAAATCACTTTAAAGATGTCTTAAAGAGCACGAAGAAACGGGAGACTGTCATAGACATGAGGCAGGTCTTTGGATCCCTCTCATCCAAAAAAGCACCCTACATTATTGTATTTAAGCAAACTCTTTCTCCCCCTGTGCGCTTGATTTAGCACACAGTGCATACCAATGAGTGCCTGCGGATATGTGCTATTACATGGAGCCCGGCTGTGGTTGTTATGCTGTTGCCAGGGGGGTGATGCAAAGTGTGGCAGTGAAGTGTTTACCAGTTAAATTAGGTCATATCATGAGGCAGGTTTGAGAAGCAAAACAATAATACTTGTCTTTTAATTGGTTTGGTGCTCCAGGCTCAAAGAATCACTTTTCTTCACTTTTCCCCTACCTTCCCGAGCGACTTTAACACCAAACTTTGTATCGTTTCAGCCAAGAAGTTCGGCGTGACGGAGGTGTCAATGGAGACGGTCACTCTCATTTCTTACGCCGCTCAGTCTAGGCTGCGCTCCATGCTGGAGAAAGTCTCGACTGTTGCGCAACACCGCGTCGACTCCTGCAAAGTAAGAACCAATACTTGAGCCGCTCGCTCCAGAACTTCAAAGAGAAACCACAAACTGACTTTTCCCGCCGAACATTTCTCATTATACATCCTTCATGCTGAAAATGCAACTGTTAATGTTAACCCTAACCTGAGTCTTGATCGTGGAAGATGCACTAGTAAGAAGAGTAGACTACACTAGTAAGACTTATAAGGGTAAGACTTTTGTTGTACAGCATCATACTAACTACTTATAATTCCTATTATAACTCCAAAGTAAAAATCAATCATAATTTGTTTTTTTTTAATTGATCAGTTATTCTAACATGATTAAAGATGTATGTTGGTGTTGATGACATAACTTGGAATTATGGGCTGAAATATAATAAATATAATATATGAAATATAAAAATTGTGAAATATTAATAATTTAAAAAATAATGGAATATATTTTAAAATGTGATTTATTTTTTGTAATGACAAAGCAAAATTTTCAGCAGCCATTATTTTAGACTTCAGTGTCACATGATCCTTCAGAAATCTTTCTAATATGCTGAGTTGTGCTGCTTAATATTTTTGTGGAAACCATAAGTGATGCGTCAATCCTAAAATAATTCAGAAACCAAATTGGTATTGATTGTAATAGGTTGTAATTGTTAATTTAGAGCACCAAAGCTTCCTGTGTTTATTGGTAAGTGAAAAAGACAGATTTTATTTTATTCATTATTTAATTATCGTATCTTAAATTATCCTGGTTTTTTAAAACTTGTTATCATAGAAGACTGAAAGTAATGGAGCTTGAGGGAAAAAAAACGTGGAAATCTAGACTTTCATTTTGTACTAAGAAGAAAAAAAAATTACGCAAAGAGGATATGGTGTCATGTTGCGATTTGTCCCATTCTGATTTTGCAACAAACTGTTCAAAATGAGTAACTGTTACGGCTTTATGAAGTCAGCCTGTTGATATCAGCGAAAAACAAGCCAAACTTGAATGGAGACGGGAAAAGTTGGCCCTGCGAGTGAGGCGCAGCCTCAGCACAAAAGAAAGCGTGTGTGAAGAAATGAGAAGAGCAGTGCCGTTCCCGCTGCTAATAGGCTATAGCCTCAGAAGTGCATGAAAATGTGTGGGTTCCTGTGTGTGTGTGTGTGTGCGTCGCTCAGCTTTGGTCTTCTGCTGCGCCTCACGCAGCTCTTTTACCTGCAACGCTAGAACAACCATCGCAGGAAAAAGAGTCTGGGGTTGCCTCGCAAAAACACTGCGAAACACAAAATTATCCCATTAGCTCTGGGTGACCTACTAACTTCACTTTCATTTATGCACGAAAGGGAAAAGAGTGAAACTTTAGGCGAGCTGGAGGAAAAAGTTAGTTCACTCTTATAACAACGTAAAGGTGATGAACTTGTGGATGAGGAGTTTTGTTTTTACTTTCCCCAGGATGAGGAGCTGTACGAGCAGACATCGGATGTGCGGACCCAACTGAAGTTCTTTGAGCAGCTGGAGAAGATTGAGAAGGAGAGGAAAGATGACGAAGAACGGGAGCTGCTAATGAAAGCCGCAAAAGTAGGTTTGAGTGATGCGGGAGTGGCCGTTGGCGCCAGTCTGCCCATCAGCGCCTTGCCAGTGAACGCTGGCTTTTCCCGCACGTGTTGGCCACTGTTTAAAAGAAACCGGTTGTGCTTTTAAGCCTCGGAGAGAAAAGACAGTGTTATTAAGACACAAGATTGCACTTGGTCTGCTTCATACTGGAGCAAATTGCAGTAATGGCAAAGCCAGAGGGATTTATCCAGTCTCGAGTTGATTTGATTGTACTGTTGCCTGGACTGGAGTACATCAGGGGAAAGGGAATGAGTCTTCTGTTAGGGAGCGAGAGAGGATGTTTTAAATTTGCCTTGAAGTCGCTTTCTTTCTAAGGAAGTGACACTATCTCACTCACTGAGTTTGTTGGGGGGGGAAAAATAATGTTATATGTAATGGATGAACCTTAAGGCATCACTACCTTTTTGGCACCAATCAAGTGAATGCTGCTTATAAATTAATCAAGACTACATGGCTTTTTTAAAAACTGCTATATAGGTAGACATGAGGTTTAGTTCTGGGTTTTAAGCAATATTGGCAGGGATGGACTGGTAGGTGGTTTTTGATACTAAATTTGTATATTTTAGATGTAAGGATTCACCGATATTAAAGTTCTGGCTGATACAGATAAGCCAGTAATTATTTTCAAATTATATAACTGATAAATGGATGATACCAAAATTCTGTACTATTTAAATAAATTATAAAAAAAAAAAAAAAAATGCTGGAAATAAAATCTACACTTATAAAAATATATATATAACAAATACAAAAAATAAACTTAGTCATTTTAGGTACTACAAGTGAATTTATGTATCACATTATAATATACAGTATGAAAAATCGATAATTGGTTTTGAGAATGGGGGGGAAAATTAACTTGGAGGATAAAAGCATTCGATTATAACATTATAAAATAAAGAAAATTAGCATGAATAAATAAATACCCAATACGAATAAATAAAAAAACTGTAATATCAGCTTATAATAAATGTAAAGTCAATTTTTGGGGGGGAAGTCAAAGTTATTTTCTGTGGTAATCAACTATATCACAGATACTGCCAATACAATTTGTCCTGAACAAATCCCATCTCTCTTAGTCTGTTCAGGGAGTACATATCACTTGATATTAAAATTCTGGTTTATATAAGCCAATAATTATTTTCATGTTATGGCAAATAACCGATAATTGTCTGATATTAAAATTATTAGGGATGCACCGATACCACTTTTTCCAGTACTCGCCCGATACCGATACTTTTATTTTTGGTACTTGCCGATACCGAGTACCGATACCAATATTTTCATTGCATTTGTAAAATTTTTTAAATATTGGGTACAGAAACCAAAAGAGTATGTATGATGTTAGTTGGTTAACTTAATTTATCAAATAGATAGTCAAACCAAATTTTATTCAGACACCTTCAACATTTCTCACATTATCACAGTTTATTCGCTATAGTTTAGAAAATGGTAATAAAATATGACAAGAACTGCCTATTACTTAGTTAAACTGTGTCAGAACAAATTCAGCTTGATAATGTCAGCTAACTTTGATAGAAAGGTATGTAATGCAGGCTATTAGTTTCACTTTCGCCAGAAAGTCGTGTATGCTTAAGGGTGAAAATACATTACGATTATAGTGAATGCCCCTATAAATTGTCTTGCGGTTTAGTTTAATCCAAATGATGCGTGCTAAGTGAGCGAACATCAATAAAGATCACACAACAGAAATGCGCGCTCTCTCTCCCTCCCTCCCTACCATTAAGTAACGCACATCAGCTATACAGGCATTAATACTGAATGTTTTATATTCATTGCATACATATACTTCGTAGACCTCTTTAATCTCTAATAACTCCATTCTACTGTCTGTTGTCAATGTTTTTTTGTCTGAATATGGCACTTATCACATGGCGTATAGTAACTAAGTACATTTACTTGAGTATTGTACTTAAGTACACTTTTTGAGTATCTGTACTTTACTTGAGTATTATTTTATGCAGTTCCATACTGTAATGTGTGCTAATGCTATTTTTGCACGCTCACAAACAAATGTATTCACATTTACAAGCAAATATACAAATCGCAACACGTTCAAACACAAGCACACTAACAATGGCGCACATTTGGCTCGCACATCACATGCTTTTATCCAGCCACCATCACAGATGTTCAGGAGTGCTTGACATGATGGCAGTCTGATGTATTGTCTTGTTGGAAGGTAAACCTTCGTCCCAGTCTGAGGTCCTGAGCACTCTGGAGGAGGTTTTCGTCCAGGATATCCCTGTACTTGGCCTCATTCATCTTTCCCTCGATTGCAACCAGTCGTCGTGTCCCTGCAGCTGAAAAACACCCCCATAGCATGATGCTGCCACCACCATGCTTCTCTGTTGGGACTGTATTGGACAGGTGATGAGTAGTGCCTGGTTTTCTCCACACATACCTCTTAGAATTAAGGCCAAAAAGTTCTGTCTTGGTCTCATCAGACCAGAGAATCTTGTTTCTCACCATCTTGGAGTCCTTCAGTTGTTTTTTAGCAAACTCCATGCGGGTTTTCATGTGTCTTGCACTGAGGAGCGGCTTCCGTCGGGCCACTCTGCCATAACGCCCCGACTGGTGGAGGGCTGCAGTGATGGTTGACTTTCTACAACTTTCTCCCATCTCCCGACTGCATCTCTGGAGCTCAGCCACAGTGATCTTTGGGTTCTTCTTTACCTCTCTCACCAAGGCTCTTCTCCCCCGATAGCTCAGTTTGGCCGGACGGCCAGCTCTAGGAAGGGTTCTGGTCGTCCCAAACGTCTTCCATTTAAGGATTATGGAGGCCACTGTGCTCTTAGGAACCTTAAGTGCATCAGAAATTTTTTTGTAACCTTGGCCAGATCTGTGCCTTGCCACAATTCTGTCTCTGAGCTCTTCAGGCAGTTCCTTTGACCTCATGATTCTCATTTGCTCTGACATGCACTGTGAGCTGTAAGGTCTTATATAGACAGGTGTGTGGCTTTCCTAATCAAGTCCAATCAGTATAATCAAACACAGCTGGACTCAAATGAAGGTGTAGAACCATCTCAAGGATGATCAGAAGAAATGGACAGCACCTGAGTTAAATATATGAGTGTCACAGCAAAGGGTCTGAATACTTAGGACCATGTGATATTTCAGTTTTTCTTTTTTAATAAATCTGCAAAAATGTCAACAATTCTGTGTTTTTCTGTCAATATGGGGTGCTGTGTGTACATTAATGAGGAAAAAAAAATTAACTTAAATGATTTTAGCAAATGGCTGCAATATAACAAAGAGTGAAAAATTTAAGGGGGTCTGAATACTTTCCGTACCCACTGTATATATATATATTTTTTTTTTCCCCCATAGGTTTTTAACATGCTAAAAGCTCTTTATTCCAAAGATACTACAAGCTAGTCAGTGTATTCAGTAGGTGTAATGTGTTGTAAGTTGCTTCAGAGGTGTTGCAATTATTACATACAACAATAATAAAACAGTAAAAAAAAATTACTTTTGGTACTGAAGTACTTTTAAAAGCAAGTACTTCTGCACATTTACTTAAGTAAAAATCTATCTTTACAACTTTTACTTGTAATGGAGTAATATTTGACCAGCAGTATCTGTACTTTCACTTAAGTAATAGAGTTGTGTACTTTGTCCGCCTCTGCACTTATCACATGCTGTGTGGTATCGGCGTTTGGTACCAGTATCGGTATCGGTGCATCCCTAAAAATTATATATAAAAACATAATTGTTTTGCATGCTAAAGGTGAGACATTGCAACATTATATTGTACAGTATCAAAAATGTATATTAATTTCGAGATTTACGCAAAGATTACATTTTACAGTGATGTTAGTTCATTAGAAATTATTACATTAACTTCAGGGGGTATAAGATGATGATCTAGACTTTCTAAATGTAAAAATATGAAGGAGGAACAGAGAATAAACAGTATCCAAAATAATTAATATCCAAAATTGGTCGATACCATTCAATTCAAATCATTTCTCAAATTTAAAAAAAATTATATCTGTAATATCAGCCGATACTTAGCGTACACAATTCTGTGGGACGATACTTGCATTGAAACCAGAACATTCAGGGTTTTTTTTAATTATTATTTATTTTACTGTGATTTGAGTTAACCAAAACCAATTAAATCTCATCTCTCTATATATATATATAAATCTGTTCAGAAACGGAATTGCATATTACTCGCATATCAGTTCCTAACTATTTCATTTGTGATGGTGGCACTTGAGTCTACATATAGATTCCAAAGCAGCAACAAACGGCTAGTAGCAACTTCCCAGCATGCATTGCTCTCCCTTGAAGTTTCACTCCTTAAGATACGGTGGGGGTGTGACCGTTCCCCACAGGAATAGGACATGGCAACATGAAAGCAGAGGTAATTAGTTGACTTAAACAACAAAAACTGATGATGACGCCGATGATGTCCCGCTCCAGAGTGACTCCCAGTGCACCGCCGTCCCTATTCTAATTAATGCAGTCGGCTAATTGAGATGTCAGCCAGAAGATAATTGTTCTTATGTTTTCTGTTGCCGGTCTCACATAAATACTGTTTGGGAATAGACTTGACCCATTTACATTTAGTTTGTCATCATGGTAGAATTATTGTCACAGGCGCTTAATGTTTTCTTAATGTACAGCAAAAGTTTAGGTAAAGGGATGGTATTGTTTGTCGTTATTCTCTAGTAATAGTGTTGTTTCATATTCGTATGCTGACATTTTTCCTGTGAAACACAAATTTGAAGAATATTTACAGCAAAAAAAACATCAAATCAGTTTGGAATGGCATATGAGTAAATAATGACAGTATATTCATTTTTGGATGAACTGTTTCTTTGTTTGTTACTTTTTGATTGTTTTCTGAATGGATATTTCTGCTCTAATTTTGTTCATCTAAATCCTGGATCTAATTTAAACCGGTCTATTTTAGTTCTAATGTTTCTCTTTGCTTGCAGAGTCGCTCGAGGCAGGAGGATCCCGAACAGGCTCGGCTTAAACAGAAAGCTAAAGAGGTGAGCTTTATGGAAGACTATTTAATAGTACTAATAAAAGTGCTCAACATACATTTTTCATGATTATACCATTGCTATGACTTTGACATAATTTAGTCTGACATTGAGACAAATGGTCTCATACGTTTCCTAACAAGTTTATTACCTCATGGGGAGGAAGTCATCATTTTGCTCAGATGTCACACCACCCTGCTGCCATCATGAGTCTAATATGGGCTAATCTTTGGCTTGTGGGGGGCATGACATGTCTGAGCACTAAAGATTTTTCATCAGGTTTAATGGCAATGAAAGCAAAATGACTTCATTTCGTGGAAGAAAAAGCAGGTATTTTGAAGAACAGTTGCTGTTTTCTATTCAGGAAGAATGAATGGGGACTGGTGCTGTCAATTTTCAAACAAGATACCAAAGCACTACCAAATAGGACTGTATTTCAAGTTTTAAGAAGTCAAACAATAACTTTGTGTTTCTGAAGCCTGAAAGGTCCAGTCCACAATCGTTGTTTTTGCATGATCAAGTGTGACTAGAAAAAAAATGTCCTGTGATTTTGCATATACATTTGAATTATTTTTCTTTAGAAATGACCTGTTTCAACTTGAATTAGTTGGGGGGGAATCCTCAATAGCACAGTGAACAGCTTTGAGGCTGTAATTTTCATTGAATGCCAAACGAACTTACAATTTTGGATACAGAAATTGGCCCATTTTTATAAAAAAAAAAAACATTCCTCTGTTGTCATTTCCCCTCCGTTCTGTAAATAAGTGGTTTACACACCATATGTCGCTATGTCACCATATGTCTCTGTTTGTACTGACAACCACTGTTAGATCTCATCCGTCAAAGAGGATCTTTTCTGAACCCCAGCGATCATTCTAAGCATGTTTTATTCAAATCTAGAGCCGCCGAGCCCATTGTCTCTCTGTTGCTGTGGATATATTGTTTGTTTCAGCACTCTGTTGTTTTTCTTACCTGAGGGCATATCGTTATGGAGAAAGAGAGAAGCACTTCTTGAAGCTTCTTTGGTCTTGCTGCATCTCCTTTTTTCAGATCACAGTATAGCTAACTAGACTAGTAAAGAGAAACGCTGAACAGCACAGTTCTATATATTTATTTACATGGTTCACCTCAAAGCAAAATGGCAGCTCCTCTTCTTTGTTGAAGACCTGTCTTAAAGCCTAGACAGCTGCTTCTGAACCTCTGTCTCTGATTTCTTACCTTGCTCTTACTGAAACAAGAAGTTGGAGTTGAACATGTCAAAAGGGTCATGTCCTTTTTTATATAGGAGATTTTTAGGGATTCAGGAAATATCCTCTTGTTAAGCTAGCAGTAGTTTTTTATTTTACCCAGGCAGCACAGTAAAATTATATATATATATATATATATATGTGTGTGTGTGTGTGTGTGTGTGTTTGTGTGTGTGTGTGTGTGTGTGTGTGTGTGTGTGTGTGTAATTTTATA